AGAGAAGTTACATAGACACTTCAGAGCTCTGTATGTTTTCCCTGAAAATAGTATCTCGAACTTGTTGAGCGATTCCTATGTGACCAGTATATTACCTTAAGTTCTTCCAACTCCGAGGTGCTCAACCTCATCTGATTAGAATAACCTGGGAATTAAAAAAAAAAATCAATGCCAGGCTCCATCCCTAGACCAATTGAATCAGGATCTTGGGACATAAGACCTAGGAGTAGGATTTATTTTAAGTTCCCCAGGTGATCCTGATACACAGAATAAAACTCCTGCCCCAGTTCTTATAATACCTTCAGAAGATACATAGTAATAGCTTCATTTTATGGATAAGAAAACAGGCTCAAGGAGGTGAACTGTCTTGCCCAAAGGTAAAGAAAAGATGTGTCAAAGTCAGGACTTAACCACTGGTCTGATTCCAAAGCCCATATTCCTTTGACCCTCTAGGTTGTCACCCATATGACAAGTTGGCATTCCCTCTAACTCCAGGCAGTGTTCACCGGCCTTTGTGGTTGTACTCAACATGCAGCTCCTCTTCTTCCTTCCTTCCCCCTCTCGTCTGTCCCTCTCTTCCCCTGCTCAGAACCACACACTAGACTCAACCAGACTTCACCATCAAAAGTTCACAAGGATATACTGGGTCGATGTTGCTGCTTTGGGGTGGTAGTACCCAGCTCAGGGTGGTGCCCACCCTAAGCCTCCCAGTAGCTCCGGATCCTCGTGGCCATGAAACAACATTACTTCCTTGAGTCAGCTTGAGAAGACAATGGCCCTGAGCTCATAGCACAGCAAGTTACTTTTCTGGGTAGAATAAAAAAATAAAAAATTTAAAGAGCAAAGACTTGAAAAGTCACATTAAATATCACAGAGAAAAAAGGCAAAATCATGAAAAAATGTGGTCAATCATTAGCAGAGAGGTTGAAAAGACACGCTCCAATTGCTTTAAAAACTCACAGAACCTAGGTCTCCTTAAAATAGTTTTTAAAGTACATTGAGAATTCCATGCAGTAATATGAAACATAAGTCCCCCTGTTGCCACAGAACATGCTTCGGCTGGCTAAACTGAAGGGGCTTGACATTAACCCAAGGCTCTGCAGAACTCCACAGGAAAGCTCAGAGGAGACACAGTTGCAAAGCTGCCCCAGATGTGTACATTTTCTGCTCCATTAAAATGACTTGGATGAGAGGCAAAGTACATTTGGCCTGTAGAAAGGGAGTTAGGGGAGGGGCAGGGGGAGGACAGTCAGCCTCATCACAGGCCTCCCACTCCCCAGTCATGCTTCTGCCTAGCCCTTCCTCGACACTGCTTCTAGTCTAAAATGTCTAAAACGCAAACATGACCACAAGCCTTCCAGGATTCCCCAGAGCCCCAGGTTCTCCCTAGCCATAGGTCTCAATTTTCTTAACTCTATCATGGGCCTAATAATACCCACTTCAAGGGTTCGGTGTGAAACTGAGATCATGTATACTTGGTGCCTGGCATGTTTGGTTTATAAGTAAGCTTTGGAGGAAAAGTAGGTATTACATTTTATCATCATTGAAACCAGGTCATATGAGAAGAGACAGGTGAAGAAAGTGACGATGTCTGGGCAGAAGACAAACAAGATCCTAACAAGTTAGGATTCCAAGTTTTTCCATATCTGATGGGCTGGTATGAGACTCTTGGTGGTGAACCTAGGATGGCAGCTACAAGGTGGTACGTTCTGCCTCAAAAAGCCTTTCTAACAGTTACTAATGTCCAAAATTTAAGGGGTGGTAGTAAACATTAAAACTGTATGAGAAGTGTATGGATGACCATTTGGCAGGGATATTGAAGAGGGGATTCCACTGTGATTTGGTTGAACTTAACATTTTTAACTACCTCTTTAAATCTGAAATCTGTACTTTTGAACTGTCTTTATTTGCCAGTCAATGAATCATCAACATCTTGAGTTTCTGGTATGTGTAAAGCCTGGGGCTACAGTCCCTGGATCAGAGAGGTACTCTGACTCAGTTTTAACCAGGACAGAGGAGGTACACTTAGTAGTTCTCTAGAAGCTGTGTTAAAAGACTAACTATGTGAGATATACAGGAAGCAGGATGTCTTTCTGTTGCCCTTAGGATGCTGAAGGATGTCTCTTTGAGCTTCCCGTGCCAGCTTTTCCTTCTTTACAATCTGTTCTGTGCACCTACATGCAAATTGTACTGAGTCCATGTTTACCCTGTTGGCATCCATGTCATTATTTGTTCTTTTCTTCTTTCTGGGTTCTTGAGAAATGGAACTGTCCCCTATCAGAACTGTTTACACTGACTTGGGTGAGGAATGTGTCTGAACCTGACGGTGTAATGATATTTAATACGTTCCTGGATGTGTCTATCTCACAAGGAGTGAAATCAGTGTTCTGGACTTTGGTCACTGGGAATGGAAAGACAGAGTTAGGATTCAGCTCTCCACTTTGAAAAGAAGGGACAGGTGTTCAGAAAAACTTTGCAAGAGGTTTGTTCATGCTGTATCTTTCTTTCATGTGTTTGTTTTATAAGCATTTTCTCCCCAGCTCTGTGCTAGGATCCTGAGATGCTGAGGTTACATAGCCTTTTTGTCCCCCCTCAAAGAGCTTATTCTAATGAGAGAAGATAAAAGGTTTTGGGACAAAATAGTAGAAAAGAGTTTGCATGTGCTTGAGGAGAGAGGCTGGTTGGGGAAGCTTCACAGAGGAGGTGACATCTGAGCTGGCCTTCAGGGGAAGTTGAGGACACTGTGCACTCCAGGAGGAAGAACTTCCCAGGATGAGGGCAGAACAAGCACAAAGCCTTGAGACCTGATAAAACATGCTGTTTTAGGAAATGTGAACTGGTTTAATGTGTCTAGAGTGTACTGTGACCAGGAAGGTGATAAGAGATGAGACTGGTAATATATTTTGGGGTCACTCTCATCTAGATGGGCTAGGAGCTTGGCTATGGTGCTACTTGAAATTATTTTGCAAACATAGTTTGGAGCTTCATGATATTTCATTAAATATGGCCAACTCTGCATGATCCATCTTGCAAATTATCAGAAGTCTTGCTACACATTACTTCCCCTTGACCACCACAGGAATGTGTTCTTAAAATAAAAACCCATAGAAGATCAGTCCAAAGAAATCATAATCAGGAAGGTAAATCTGCTGGAACAACTCAGAGTGGCTCTTCTTTTTTCCACAAGTATATGGGTCTATTAAGGTCCAACATCTGCATCAGGACAACATGTTCTCATGTCTGGCTGTCACCGCATATATACCAGAGGCTTGGTTTAAGGGAACTTGATCTGACCTATACGTTTGGGTCTGGGAGCTGTGTGTTGATGGGGTTCACTCCCCCAATCACAGTGAAGTAATTTGGAGGTTTTAGCTTATCTACTTCATCATTAGTGTAGCTGATCTGAAATGTGAGCACAGTGCTTTTAAAAAAAATACTGTTTAATGCTTTCTGGTTATAAAGTAATACCTGTTTATTGTAGAAAATATGTAAATGTAAACACACAAAGGGAAAAAAATCACCCACCACTACTAAGCAACAATATTTATTGTTTTTTTCCCTTATAGGTTGAGTTCATTAAAATGAATTAAATATATATAATGTTTAATTCAGTCTGACACCACCATTCAGCATTCCTCTATGAGAATACTTTTCTCACTATAACATAATTACTTACTTATACTTTTTTAATACTTTCAAACAAGATTGTAAGAGTTTCCAGGACAAAGAAGATATGTTATTCTTACAGTAACCTACTTTTGGCACAGGGATCCAACACTGAGACTCAATTTCTGGTACAATAACACTGCAAGGGATCCAGGTGTTTACCCTGTCTGCTCATCTCTCTACCACCAGTCCTTAGCTCAGAATCTAGCATGTAGCACATACCCAATAAGTATTGGTTACTTGAATAAAAGTATGGATGGCTGGAGGAATGTGAATTTTTATTTACTGTTGTTTTTCACCCAGAATTCATTGAGCCTTTATCAAGTGCCAGGTCTGTGCTAGGCAATGGGAATATAAGCAGTCATATTTGATACAGAGCCCACCTCCTCAGAGGCATCAGTGTGAGGATGCTGACCCCTCTAATGTGAAACAGGGTTCCTATGTCGCAGAGCCCAGTCAGCCCTTTTTCTAAGGCTGGTGTTCATGCTTGCCTGGAGGAACACAAGCCCCTCCAGATTATCCTCTGCCTGTGATACCAGGGACAGAGCAAAGACTGCTATTCCAGGGAATCCCATTCCTAAACTCTTCTAGGTGCTCCAGAAATGCCCAGGTAGCCCTGGGTTTGCCTTCCTCAGAGCACCCCTCCACTCCCTGCTCATTCCAACAAGTCCCAGTTCAGAGACAGGCAGGCTGTGGAGGGGGGCTTCACTGGAGGAAGACTACAGGGGGAGAGGGGCACCACGGCTCCCTCTGGCTGAGAGGGGCCCTTAACAAACTTTTCACCACCCCAGTCAGCTGGTCCAACTGGAAATCCCAGATAAGCCCCAGTTTCTGGCCAGAACTAGTTTGGCAGCTATGGGGTAACATTTCTGGCTGGCTGACCCTCCCCACAGGGGAGCTGGCAGTTTGAGGAGGGAAGTGAACTAAAGGAGCTGAGAAGAGTGGTTAAAATTATTTGAAACACTCCAAAATTCTCCTCGCTTGCAAGTGCAAGTTTTCACTTAGAGATCCAAACAAAATTGCTCCCCACCCTGCATTCATCTCTCACACTCTCCTCTCCTTTGCAATGCAGTTTTGTTGGCAATGCAATTTGTTTTGCAGCGCGATTGTTGAAGCGACAAATCCTCCACGCAGAGCGACTTTTATTAGTCAATGCATTTTTTTCCCCCTGCAATGCTATTGTTATTATCTTTATTGCAATTCAATCTTTCTGCCCTTTCCCCTCCCTCGGCGAATCGCACTCCGGCTGTGATTGCTCGGGTCTGACTCCGTGAGTGGCGGTGCGCTTCCAAACCCCCTCCTCCGCCCCCCGCCCCCCGCTCCCCTCCCTCCCCGTTCCGCGCCCAGGCGAGAGCAGCCGATTGGCAGAGCGGTGCTTTCAGGAACAATAACAGCGGGGGGAGGGCCTCGGGTCCGTCGGGGAGGCCGCCCCCGCCCCCTCCGGCCGGGCCGCGCGACTCGCGCCCCCCGCCGGGTCCCCACCTCCGCGCCCGCCCCGCGGGCTGACCGGCCGACCGGGGCCCGCCCCCGGCGCCCACCATGTACGCCTTTGTGCGGTTCCTGGAGGACAACGTCTGCTACGCGCTGCCCGTGTCGTGCGTGCGCGACTTCAGCCCCCGCTCGCGGCTGGATTTTGACAACCAGAAGGTGTACGCCGTGTACCGGGGCCCGGAGGAGCTGGGCGCCGGGCCCGAGAGCCCCCCGCGCGCCCCCCGCGACTGGGGCGCGCTGTTGCTCCACAAGGCCCAGATCCTGGCGCTGGCAGGTGAGCTTGCGGGCCGGGAGGGACCCTGGGACCGGGCGGGGGCCGGGAACCGGGGAGGGGCCGGGGAAGCCACTGCTTGCTCCGGACCCCCTCCTCCCGTCCCGTCGGCTTTTCTTTGGGGGACAGGGTGACTCTGGAAGGCCAGACCAGTTAAAAATACGGGATGGTCCCCTTTGTCTTCCCCGCCTCCCCGACAACTCCCGCGCTGTCAGTCTGTCTCCATCGCTCTGTGTCTGCCCCAGTCCTGTTTCTATTCTTCTGACTCCTTCACTTTCCCTTTCTCTCCTCGCCTGTTAGTACCTTCATTTTTCGTCTCTCACCTTCTCTTTGCCTCTCTCTCAGTTCCTTTCCTCTTTGCTCCTTCTGTCTCCTTAAGTTTCTCAAGCTGTCTGATTCTCTCTTTGAGGCCCTTGGTACCTCCTGGGAGTGAGGAGTCAAGGCTGATATTGTCAGACTCTTCCAGGTGGGAGTCCCTCTTCACAGAGGGGAGCTATGACATCCTTGTCCCCGCTGGGCCATCATTGGACAGCATGAAGTGGCCTTGATCCCTGGGCACTGGGTGCCACTCTCTCCTGCCCCTCCCTGGCTAGGTGGCAGAGATAAAGAGGTAGTGGCACTCAGCATCCCGTAGCCTCCACACCCCTTTTGAATCTCCCAGAAGGCTCCCTGAGTGAGAGCTGATTGCCTGGGATGAGTTTCTAGGTCAGGATAAGACCCGACCTCCCATTCCTGCTCTCTTGGACCCTGAGAAATAGACAAGGCAGGTGGTTTCATCCCCATTTGACAAATGAAGATATTGAGGTTCAGTTGGTGATAGGACATAAAGTAGCCCTCCAGCCTCCTTCACCAAGTCCTTTCTGCCTTACTGAGGCACCTTTTACTTTGTAAGGAGAAGTCAGTGGGCCCTCTTTCCTAGCTAGTGCTAGGAGGCTAGGGTACAGACATGAGAGGAAAAAGAAAGTATCACTTCTGTTTCGGGGAGCAGCCTTTTAGCTAATGCTGGTAAGGAGGGTGTACCTTTGAGTGGACAGAGACAGTAAGTTACCCTGCCTTCCATTTGGAAGGAAAGAACTGGGGTTAGGAGCTGAATGAAGATATTGCTAGTATTTTGTAGTTTTGAGACGTTTCCTATTTTTTTTCAACTTCCTTTGCTTTCTCACTTTTAGCTTAAAAGATGAATCTAGCATGTGTCATGTATTTAAATTTAGCAAATAGGGAAACTGTGACTCGAAACAGAGAAGTGACTTTTCTAGGGTCCTATGGCTAGTTCCTTTCCACCACCTCCTGTTGCCTCTGGAAAGTAGGCTTGCCAGAGTTGAGGAGTGGAAGAGCTGGAAACTGATGAGCATCTGGGGCCCCTCTGGACAGACTGTATCCTTACCACCTCCCTGACAAGCCTTCGGGTAGAGGGATATAGACCCACTTACAGCACCTGGGCATGCCTGGGGCCAGAAAACAAACCAACCAACCAACCAGAATGAGGAAAAGTATGTAGAAAAGAGAAACCTTTGTAGCTGATTGGGTTTTATGTTGTTTGTTTCCTTGCTTTTAATTAGCTGAGGCAGGGATTAGAAGATTTCCCCTCAAGAGTACAGTGTAAGCTTGAGGAAGTTGTCACTAGGCTTTAAGCTTAATTTCCCTTTGCTAGAAGTAAAGAAAGCATGCTTTTTGATGATTCTGTTTTACTCCTAGATCTAGAAGGGCCCTAGGAGTAGGGAAGTGATGTGTGTCCGGAGTCAGTGGTATGTATGTGTTTTTGTGTGTAGTGGCTGTTTTCCTTTTTTTAGAGATTGTTTATCCATCCATTTATTCGTTCAATAAACACAAACACTGTGCTTGGCTCTTCAAGCACTGCAGAGAGGCTGCTGGGCAGATGGCACCCCCACAGACTCTGATTTTGAAAATTGAGGAAAGTTTTCTTAAGTAAGACACATGTAGTTATTGGTTTGAGGTCTCTGAATCTTGAATCTATAGGCTATTCATCCCCCAAGTTGGAATGTTGATAAATCTCTGTGGTTATTAAAAACAAACAATAAAAAAAAAAACCTAGGCAACATCTGGAAATTGGCAGAGTAGATCCAGAGAAGAAGCGTGGCTCCAATTTGAGCAAAGTGAGTTGAAAAGCACTTTCCCCCACCTCTCTTTAGTTATTTTCTTGGGAGGAGAAAGGGGGAAATAAAGAAACAACTGGAGCTTGGCTAGACCACATTTAGAATTCCAATCAGCTAGTTAATTTTTAAAATGGAGCCGCTGTCCTGGCTGCAGACCTGATTGGAAGGGCCAGGGTGGGTTTGGGAATTCATTTATTTTGGAAGAACTCTCTCCTGTGTGTCTTGAAATAGGATGCCATCGCTCTGAGACTTGCTTGCAGTGACTTCATCTCAAAGAGCTCATCTTCTGGCATCTCCTAGGTGTAAATACCACTGCTGTGGCACCAAATGTGAGGAGGTGAGCCCTTAAGCAAGAGGCAGAGATGGCTGTGTTTTTGTGAATTAGCCATGAGTAATTAATCCCTCTCTGGCATCAAAAGCAGGGTTTCAGAGGCAGTTTCAGGGCCACTTTATGGCTTTTGGTGAGAAGTGTGATACTTTACTCTGCCCAGGCCAACCCAGAGCTGTCTACGAGTGTACCTCTTCTTGTATCCAGGGATGTCGAAGCTAACTGCTGTGCGACTTTGCATTTTCCAGCCTATAGTCGTCTGCACCATGCTTTCTGTGTGTGTCAGACACCAGTGTGTAGCCTTGATTTCAGTTCAAGGAAAACAAAGAAATACATCTTTACTGACAGTCGTGCTCTGAGCTTATGCATTATCTCTGTTAGTCCTCCATGGGACCCTGTTGGTAGAGATCACGATTGTTACTATTTCCATTGTGCAGATGAAGACACTGAGGCTCAGAGACTCCTCTGCAGCTTCCCAGCTAACAAATGGCAAAACCAGACTTGGAACCCAGGTCCTCCAGTGCCAGGCCCCCACTTGGCAGTCTCCTTTGTAGAGTAGCTGATGTTCCTCTCAGCCACCAGCATGCTGGGGAGGAGTGAGAGGAAATAGAAGAACTGTCCATGCAGCTTACAGTTCCAGGCATGTTTCCAAGCCCAAGAACAGTTTTCGGTGCTGAATTTTCAAGCTTTGTCTCTTCCTCTTCCTCTCTTACCAGCCTCCCTCCTTGCTCAGTTGTCATTTTCTCAAGGAACTCTCAAAGGAGCTACCATCCTCCATGAAGGGTCCACGTAACTCAAGACTTGGCTCACCTTGGACTTGGTCTCTTCTAAGTCACTCTTTTATTTGCCAAACAGCTTGTAAAAGTGAGAGCAGTCCATTTGGAGAGCTTACCATCATCTAACTGCAATCTCGCCTGCTACTTGGGCTCATGGTATTGAATTTTTTATTTTTATTTTTATTTTTATTTTTTATTTATTTATTTTTTTTTACAGGGCCAGAACTATTTTCTGTAAGCCCAGAGTCTTAAGATTCTATGCCATCCCATCCCAGCACTTCTGCTGTGTTATTATTAGTTGGGTGTGCTAAATTATTTCCTTGTCAAATGTCCCCTTCCTCCTTCCTATACACCAGACCCAGTGCTGTAATAAACAAATGTTCCAGCGCACCTACGCCGTCTGAGGTACTGGGATTGAAAGGACGGCATAATCCAGGCGAGACAAGAGTTCACTTTTCAGGCCCTGTTATATAGGGTTTCTGTTGCAGGTGTGATAAGGAAGAAATGGGTACTATCCTCAGAGCATGTGTAGTCTTAGGGCCCAGTGCAAGTGCTAAGTAGAGATAGAAACCAGGCACGGGGGGGGGGCACAGAGAAAGGACCCATTCTAGGTGGGCTTTATCTTTTAAATCTTTCCTTTCCAGCTCCACCACCGCTGCCTGCACCCAGGCTAGCACCAGCTTTTACTCATCTAAGCCAACACAGCCATCTTCTAACTGATCACCCTACCTCCAAACTATTTTCCAAATTGCTGTCAGAATAATCTTCTAAAACACAGTCTTATAGTCAATTCACTGCTCTCCTTAACCTTCTATAGCTCCCTGTTTCGCACTAAATAAAACTTCAGCTTCTCAGCCTGAGCATTCAAGCAGCCCCAGCCCTACTTTACTTCTTCTGCTTCCCCGAGAACTGCAGTATTTCATGCTGTCTTGAGAACATACCCTTAGGCACTCCGTTGAGCTAACCAGGGTGGATTAATCATTGTCTGACATGGGGCCTCTGTCCACAGGGCTCACCTTCCAGTGGGGAAGGCAGACACGTGACATGCTTGTGGTCCAGCGGGCTGTAGTATAGAGGAGTGGACAAATATATTGGCACCTGTTCCACCCTCTGTCCCCAGAAGAGGCTCTCCCTCCTCAGCACTCTCCTTTTAATTTTGCTTGTTCCTTGCTTATGGATCTTAGTATTTTGTGTCTTGTTTTGGTTAGTCGTGAATGTGCCTGTTTTCCTGCCAGACAGTGAACTCCTCAGGACAAGGGGCCTGCCTTCCTTGTCTGGGCATCACAGTGCCCAGCACGTAGTCCACTCCAGTCAGCCCAAGCTGAGCTCAGCAGCTTTGGGAAGATAGGTGCATTTTTTTATGCTTGAGGAGAAGAAGTAGGAAGAACAGGAACCTCTGTAGCAACAACTTATTTTTCAGAACAGAAACCTGCAGTGAGACTTGGAGGTTTCATTCAACTTTGTTCATCTGGAAAAAGTCAACATTTTTTATCACTCCCTTGACTAGAAGAAACCCCACACTTGGGGGAAATAGCTTCCAAAGCCAATTTCTTCTTGCTTTGGTAATTTTAGCTCATTCAGGGCTCAGGTCCCAGCTTGGCATTGTTGGTCCAAATAGATCACTTGCTCCAGAAATGCTTTGGAACTCCTACAAAGTTAGCAGCGAAGCAGGGGACTAGCCGATTTCATATGCAAAGATTGTTGCATGTAATCAGTGGGAGACTGCCAACAAAAGGATTTTTTTTTTTAAAAAAGCAAGTGAAAACTTTTAATTTAGGTTTTGAC